TAGTTATTATGAATATATGAATTATTTTTAAATTATTTAAGTTAGAATTACAATAACAAACGATTGTATAGTTTAAGCTATGTTTTTTATGTAAATATTATATACATTTTATATTATAGTATCATCAATACACTGCACTTTTGTTATGCTTATATATATATATAGTTTAATTTTTATTTCATATTATATGAAAACATAATTAGCATAAATTAAATTATCACTTAATAAGTAATGAGGATTGTAACTATGTGGTTAGGTTAAATACTGAACAATTACGTTTTGTTAAAATGCTCATATGAGACCCGATAAATGATAAGTATACAATATAAGTATCGTTAAGTATTTAATTCATACCTAATTAGTTAATATGATTTATCTTAAAAATAATTTAATAGTATAAAATAAATTGCGTAATATGTTCTAATTTTTTTAAGTACAACTAATTTGGCATAAGTATAAAACTCATTAATATTATTAAAAATAGAAATTGAATATTCGAAAAAAATAAATTAATGTTTTATGATTTATATATTAGGTGTGAAATACAATGTATTATGTATCAAAGGTACTTGCCTACATTATGTTGTTAGTGAAAATTAGAGTTGCTTGAATTACTTTTAAAATGATTTTGGTAATTTTAAAATGTTTATTGTAATTTTTCTGTATGTACTCGTATGAATGTCAATGTTTATTAAGTAGAAAAATGTGTTTAATCACAGTTTTGGTAGTTAATGCATATTTATATGATAGGTAGATACTACTATGTCTTCACTTATAATACGTGGTATATAAATAATGAATACTAATAAGCTTAAAGTTTTTAGTATTTCTTAAGGTGCATTATACTTTTTACCTATTGATACTTTACAATTAAATGGTTTTTATTACTTAAACTAATATTATAATCTATATAGTTTAAAGGTACCTACCTAATATTGATAACTACTGTATTTTTTCTAAGAATCTTACATATGTTTATCAATTACATAATAATTTAGTATATAAAAAAACATATAACTTATAATTATATACAATTTTAGTTTTACATTCTCTAAATATAATAGTATGTATGTGTATCATGGAGATTTAGTATGTTAAAGTGGTGAACAACCTACTCAACCTCTTTATATTAGTAAATTCTTACAATATATTGTGTTTATAATATTACTTGCATTTAATTAAACTACTAAAATGAAACAATTTAATTTAATATAGTTTTTAATAAGAAATATTGATGTAACTGGAATATTCCATTCTTTGATAGTTGAACAATTATTTGTTCCAAATTCAAGCATATGATGACTTAATTGTTTCCACAAATATCAAATTTAGTTAAAACATAAAAATATTAAAGCTGAGTTCATTATTTATTTTTATTTCAATTGATATTGGTTTCTTTTTGTAATGTAATAATAATTTATAACACTGGCATTTTTCATCTCACGGGATGAGTTCCTATAACATGTATTTGAATGCTGTCTGTTTTTTTTTTCATACAATATACATATACATAAACAGATTCAAAATATTTATGTATAAAAATATTCTAATACATTTTGTTGTTATTGTATAAAAAATATGACATTTATATTAAAATCATTCCTTTGAAAACTTAAAAAAAATAATTTTAACGCGTTTTGGGAAGGTAAAAGGATAAAGTTATAAATATATGTATATATATATATATATTTATATATATTAAGTTATATTATAAAAGTATACTTAAATATTCTTCATTATAATGCATAAAGTATTTTGATACTCAATAAAATTACCACTTCGAAAGTAGTAACTAAATAAATAAAAAATTGTATTGAAATCATTCATGAGTTATTGATTTGAGCTGTATTAATATTATTGTATATTGACCCTTTAAATGAATGGTTTAACATTATTAACATTATAAATATCGGTAAATTGTATCCAAAAGTAAAAATATATTGGTACAGAAGTTTTATAGATTTTATTAAGTTTTTCATTTTTTTTATTAAATTGTAACCTTTAAATCGCATACTTGTACTTACAGTATTTATAATTTGTACAATTTCTAAAAATAATATTAAAGATTAGATCTTCATGAATATGGATTTTTTTCAGTTTTTTTTTTTTTTTTTACAAAATATAATATAATCCTTATATCTTTATTGTAAGTTGTTACCATCCATCTGTGTTTTCAACATTTTTACAAAATAATTGTCGTATTTGTTTCTATATAATATATTACGCAGTATTAATTATTAAAAAATGGCATTATGTATACGAAATATAATAGTATGCGTTAAAAGTTTATAGTTCCTACAAATAATATTTTTTTATTTCAATAAAATTACTAAAACTGTGGTTCTTTGTTTAAATATCTTAAATATCAAAATTTTAGATTCCTCGACATTTGAGCTTTAAATATTGTTTATAAAAGAAAATTATCTTTTGTTTTTGTTTTTGTTTTTTTTTTTTTTTTGTAGTATTTTAGTTTAAATATGAAATGAGAATTTTGAAAACATTTTAAAGCCTTAGCTAGGTTAAAAGATTCAATATTATATAAGTTATAAACTAGGTACACAATAATCAGAAAATGTTCGTTAATATTTGAACTGAATATTCTTGTAAAAAAAGTTATGCATATGCAGTATGCATCTTTGATATTTTCAATATTTATAATAATAACAAACTACGTCGTACCTTGTGTTTAATTTTCAATCTTTTGAATCTATAAAAATTTTTAATCATAATTCATAGAAAAAAAAAAAAATCAGTTAAAACTTAGGTACTTACACAAAAATACCATTGTAAATAATGTGTATTTCAAATTTAACTGGTATCCATGAAATTAAGAAACTTAAAGTAATGTATCAAATATTAATATAATTTATTGTTCTATAATTATTAAATATGAAATTTTATATTTAAAAGCATGCATGAAACAATTTTAGAGCCATTTATATTGTAACCGTTCACTGATTTTATAAAGATATGTTTAAGAAAAATTATATTCTTAGATATGTCTGATAAACGTATTATAATTATACTAATTAATCAATTTTTTTTTTATTTTTCATTTTTTTTTTTTTTTACTTTAATTAACTTAATTTGTATAAATCATACTTAACATATTTTTTTTTCATATATTGTGAATTAATGAACCAAATATTAAACACGTATAACAAAAAAAAAATATATACTTACATACTTTTAGGTATCATTGCTTCAGTAAAATAATACATAACTATTACGAATATTTAAATATGAGATTTTTTTTTGTAATTGTTATTTTTTATTTATTTTATCTATTTATAAGTTATTATAACATTATCAATTTCATAAATTTCTTATTCACAACAAGCTTAATATACATATTTAAGTCCTGAATATAAAACAAGCCCATAAAGACTATTAGCGAAGTCGATTGTAAAGGCTTGTAAATTTACTTTATTATTTAACAATAAATAACACAATCATAAGCAAAATTTAGAAATTAATGATAAAAAATTAAAAATACACTTAATTATAAAAAAATACCTTACAATAATTATCAATAATTTTATAACTACCTAATATGTAATAATTTTTTTTTTTACTTTAAAAATGTTAAATTAATATTTCTAATGACATAATCTTTGAAATTTAATAAGTAATAATTTTACACTAAAACACGTTATACTTGTTGTAAATAGTTGTATTATATTAATAATAATAAACATAATATATTATTCGTCTTATTTAAATTCGATCAAAAATATAAATTAACATTTAAATTATTACTAAATAATTAACAGTAAAAAAGATAGTTCTTATTTAAAAATCAGAAGTTTATTTCTCAACATTAAGTTTACGCAGTATACAAATATCACAATAACTTTATAACATGGATTTTAAAAATTCGAATTTTAAAACAATATTATAAAACTAAAAAAAATGGGAATGAATATGCTTTATATATATATTATATTTATATAATATTAAACCTTGTTTAAATTTAAGTTCAACTAGTTAAGACAAACGGAAAATATTTAAAAGCTAAAAAGAGAAAAAATAAATAAATTTTTAATTACTAAAAATAGAGTATAAAATAATAATTCATAGACTACCATTGTAAAAGTATACTAGAAAGAATGGTATACACTTATAAAATTTAAGTTCATAAAACAAAAAATACCTCTAGAGACAAAATAAAATTAATAATTCTTACTAGCAATATATTTCATTTCCGCGATGAAAATAATTGTTAGAAATAAAAACAAATGGAGACACGTCTTAAATAGTAATTGAATATTATATATAGAGAAAAAAAAATCATCATGTATATGGGTCCGCTAACGTTGGTTATTACAAAGATAAGTAAAAAACTAAAATTAAGGTTTCACACACGCATACTATTTTAAATTCTAGAGTGAGTGTTGAATATATTGGTTTTATAATAATGTGTGTGTGTGTGCATGTGTTGTTTTTTGTGTGTGATATCTCCATTAAGATCAATACAAACAGTCTAATCTTAAACTTTCAAGATATTTTCTAGTAGAAAATCTGATTTAGCCGATATTTTGATCAGTTGGAAATGTAGAAATTTGGAAATATTTATACAACCGGTTTTCAACGAAATCGTTTTTTTTATTATTATTATTATTATTATTATTCTATTGCAATAAAAATAAAACAATTTAATTGTTGAGCTTTAATTTGTTTTTGAATTATGAGGTATATACTACCGTTTAAAAACTAAAGAATGATAGTAGAAGTATGAAATAAAAAAATTATTATATTGTTTTATACTGTACGTATCACTTATCAAAATACAATTTAGGTATAAATTCTATATAGTTTGATGATTTTACACAAACATTTTCAAAATACCAAAGATATATATATATATATATATATATAAATACATAATATGTTGATGATTTTACACAAATATTTTCAAAATACCAAAGATATATATATATATATATATAAATACATAATATGTTAATGATTTTTCTAATACATTTTTTTTTAAATTACAGCATTTAACTCTTATACTTGGAATGACTCAGCTCACACAGACTGGATATCTGATGACGTGTTAATAGTGACGTACGAAGATGGTAAATGGAGTAAACCCTATTACGATTGTGGTGGTGGAAATATTTGGATGCTCACATACACTGTACCATTTTTTGGCTACAAAGATGGAAAATACTTTTTTAAGTAAGCCTTTTTATTCATTTTTAAGACATATAATCTACAATTTTTAGTAAGCAAAAACAACAAATATATAGAATTCTGTTTAACATAAAAATTTGTTCTTTATGAATTGAGTAACAAAAATAGGCTGTAGTACAGACACTTCAAATTTTTAAGATAATAATAATGAAAACAATAAATTTATAAATGAACATTTTTTTTAAAATTCACTATTCTTATATGACTCTGAGACGTGAAAATGTATAACATATCAATTGTATCAGCATTTAAATATATACGTTTAATAGCTCAAAGGTTATAGTAAGTAATTAAAAAATAGAAAAAACATATTATTAGGTATGCATTTAAAAGAGAATACAAAGAAAAAAATAAAAAAATTAGAAAAATAACTCAGCTAGATAGCAGGTTTTAAGTGTACCTCATTATTTGTAGGTCAATATATATTAAAATGTAATTCAATGATCCTTAATTACGAAAAATAATTTTAAATTAATAGATATTAGCATTACTTAAAAAGATATTTCATAATTAATTAAAATATTCTTTGTAAGCTATTAGTTTAAGCTTATTATTATTTTTTTTTTTTTTTAAATCACATATAATCTGATTGTTATCAAATAATCAATGTCAATGGTTTATACGTAAAATTAAATAACAGTATACTCGTAGATAGGTTCATGATAGCTTAACAGTTACCTAATATAATATTTTCAAAATGTCAAAGTTTAATTTAGAAAATGTAAAAAAATATCAGTACATTATTAATACTCAAGATCTATTTTGTTTTATATTATTGTAATTATAAAATTACAAAAGAACTAAAATCATCAAAGAAAATATCATAGTTAGTATTTTGATATAGAAATTATAGTAAAATTTCAAACTTTAAATGTCTATTAAAAATAATGTATGATTATATTATATATCATTAGTTTTATAAAATATATATTATATAGTTTTTATCTAAAATCTCTAAGTCGTATTTTAAGTTTTGAAGTCTTAAAAATTCAAATAAAAATGAAACGATATTTTTCCTTTAAAATTATTTATATTATTGTCATTAAATACTATAAAAACCACGAAATTTAAACGCTTATAATAATTAAAAATAACTGTGACATGTATTATTAATATTTTTTAAATTTTATTAAAAAAAAAAAAAATTATAAGGAATGTTGAATTTAATATGCAAGCTATTTTTGACTTGTTTTTTTTTTTAGATAGCTATGTGTTTAAATGATTTAATGGGAATTTTTTTGGGATATTACTTCTTATTTTCGAACCGTATAAAAATGAAAAAATTAAGATATAATAATAAGAAAGTGAATAATAAAAGCCTGAATTAAAAACATATGTGTTTTGGTTGTTAAATATTGATTGATTAAAATAAAAACTTGGCTTGCGTTATTTCATGCAACAAAAATTCTATCATAGTCAAATTTTTTTTTTTCCTGTACTTTTTTATAAAAAATTTCGTTTATTGTATTGAAACACGAAATAGTTATTTGTAAATGATAAAATATATTTAATTCATATTAACCATTATATTAAATTACATTTTACATTGCATTCTATTTTCGAATATAATATCTTAAATACCTGTATATTTACCAATTGTTTTTGTTATGTTTTTCTGATGTAAAAATATTCTTAATTTTATAAAATCTGCATCAATTACATATATTTGAATAATTTAAGCAGTTTTTATAATTTATTAAACAAATAATCATTAAGTGGTAACATTATCAAAAATGAACATTATACTATTTTTTTTGAAATAACATATTAAACCGTAATTACATTAAATTGTATACATTATTCAAAATAGCATTTTCATTCCTATAGCCTGTAAATTTTGGTATTTTTTCGTGTTATTCCTGTATTCTAGAGTGTAAAGTATATACGATACTAGTTGAATTACTATTATATATGTTTAAAAGCATATACAATTTTTACTTATTCTATTTGTACATTGATATTTTCTAAACTATTAAAAAACATTTTTGTTAAATACGGGTAAATTTTTAGGAGTTAATTTATTACTACTCTATAAACATATCTTATCCAATTGAAACGTTTAATTATTTGTATATTTATTTTTTAGTTTTAGAAAAAAAAAACTAAAAGAGCAATGTTTTTGAGAGTACTAAGTTTTTAGTAAAGTATTTCATTGATAATTAATGAAACATAATACATAATTTAATTTAATTGATACCTAATTAATTATTTTTAATACGTAATAAATTAGACAAAAAATATTTAAAGAATAAAACAGGAATTAATTAAGTAATTAAACAATAAATATAATGTTTTTCTTTTTTTTTCTATTAAGAGTCATTATTGTAATTTAATGTTATTTATATGTCAGAAAATAATAATTGAAAGAATAAAGAAATTGTGTTTAATGATCAAAAATGCTTTCTTAGAATTATTTTTAAGTCTTCATAAAGCTCTATAGAACTATAGTATGCGGTTAGTAGGCATAATAAAATGTTATTATCGATTGTAAATCTCAGCAGAAAACAGCGATAAAAAATATAATTGACTCATTAAAGTTGTTTTATTTTATTTGCTTTTATTTAAGTTTTTATGATTTAAAAATTTTAGTATTTTTTATCTGAAAATTGAGAGCACTCAATCAAGTCTTTAATCAAGATAATGTCAATAATAATACGCAGTTTTTTATATGATATAAATTATTTTTTCACTAGGATTTAATCATGTAAATTGTAAATTTAATATTTTATAAAATGTATTTATCATTTTTTCTAATATTTATATATATAAATATATGAATTGAACTTCTTTAAAGCCAGAATCTTATACTAAACACCACTGCTATAGATTAGGTTGATAATAGGTACACTAATATTGAGTAAGCTATAGTTAATAGCTTGTCGAAAATTGAGTTTATCTAACGCTAAGTTAACGTAAGTAAAAAAAGTTTCTAGAACAATTGATTTTCATTGATTACATAATCATAGCACAATTATTTTAGTATGTATAATTTACAAACAAAAACTTTCTTTTTTTAATATTTATTATTTTTTCGTGATTTAATTGTATTTTTTTTTATTTTTTTGCTTTTGAATCGAGAGCCAGAGAAGAAACCACGTTAGCATTACTTTTCCTCTGACTCCCATCGTTTATTAGTTTACAATTTCACCAAACATTATTAGTGGTGGGACAATCTCCCACTTGCTAATATAACAACAGCATTTTACAATACTAGAAGGCTCTGCCTCCTTAGAAGCCTTCGGCTACAATTATTTAATGGCGGGTCTCACTGCCGCACCTCAGCAGCCTCAGCCTGGTGGACTCACTCCTCGTCTTCCTTTAGTGAGAGGATGCGCTCTACCATGCCGTAGAACAACCGAAAAGCCTTCTTCGCGTTCTTTAACATCGCTTACTTAAGTTGGTCGAATGGTGGCCCGCAAATTATGCCCTGGATGTCGGCTGTACATGGTCTGTGCCCCAAGTGGGTGGACAGAGGGTCACAGAGAGCGTTCCAGTAGTAGCATTCAAAAAGAGTATAATCCGCCGTGTCCTCACCGCCCATGCACTGCAAATGATTTAATTGTATATTTTTAATCATAATGAAAAAATCATACATAATATGTAATGGATATAAAAATAATATCATTACAATGACAAATTATTTTTAATACAGATTTAAAAACTCTAATGATCGGTTTTAAAATAAAATAAAAAATATGTTGTAACGAACAAAGACTGGTTTTAATTAAAAAATAAATACTTTGAAATTTAGAAATTACTAGTTGTCACTGATATTACTAGTGTTGAAGTCCAGAGATATCATCATCTCAAATAATGATTAATGTTTAAAATTTAAAATTTAAAAATAAAAAATATAACATATTCAAAAACTAAAAGATAACAATTATCATACTATATATATGTAGGTAATAATAAAGTATATTTTTTTACATATATCAACGTCATATTCACACATTTTCCAACGTGAGATGTGTTTTTTTAAATAACGGAAATTGCATGTTAGCTATTAATAGGTAATTCAGTTGTAATATGATACAAAAAAAAATTAAAAAAAAATAGAACATTTTTCAACAACCATTTTATTTTTACTTTACTAAATGAGAGAAAACTTGTTTACTGCATATCTAATATTAACACCGTGTTTTAATAAATTATGTTTTTTTGTGTATACATAATGTATAAATAACAGTTTTTGATATTAAAATATTAAATAATTTTTTCGATTGAATATCAAAGACATTTTCTAATTGCGATCTAATTGTTTTTACAAGTTTTTAGTTGAGTATTATTACATTTTCCACTATGACCCCATTAAACCGTAAAAAAATTTAAATACAAGTGACAAGCTATTTTAGATTAAGTGATTTCATAACATTTAGTCGAATATTAATGTGTATTGTGTTTAATATTACAATCACTAAAACATATGCTAAAAGATTAAAATCTAAATTAGGATATTATAAATTGGTAGTTTTATAATATTTAGCTCATACACAACTATCAAACTATTAACGTTATCCTTGTTTGGATAATATTTTCTATTCATATTAAAGATTTAATTTAAAATTTTCTTGTATTTATATTTCAAACTAAAAGTGAAATCACTTGTTAATAACAAACAACAATAATTTTGTACCATTAAAAAACAAAACATATTTTAACATAAAAATTAAAACTAATTATTATTTATATAATTTGTTTAAAACTAGTGTTCACCATCCATACACATAATTTAATCGGTTAACCAGCATATTCTAACTATAATATTTATAGTTGAAATTTATTTCATAATATTTATATATATATTTTTATGATATTTTATAATATTATTAATTGATTATACAAATATTATTTGAACATCATATTTTAGTGTATTTTTTAATGTTTTATGTTTAATAATATTGTTTATTGATACCTACTCTAAAGTAATTAATAACATTGGTAATATTATTGTAAGAAGTACTTTTTTTTTGTTACAAAATATT